ATGGGGACAGGCGGGGCTTGAAAATTCCCCCTTGTCCAAAGTGGGGAATGACAGAAAAAGTTTGAGAACCACTGCCCTAACCAATACTGGTATAGGTATCGGTTCAACACTAGCAATGGATAGGCTTGCGATCACCACTGGACAGGCTGCTGATCAGCCCTGGAAAGGCTGGAGTTGGCATTGGAAATAGTCACTGTAATTTCTCAGCTGCACCACTTTTAGTGTGGTCCAAATGAAAAAAAAAAAAAAAGGACTGAAGCACGGCTGTACAGTGGAGCATTTTATTCGCAATTGCTCTTGATATAAGTCAGGCTTGATCAAAATAAGATAATTTAAAATAATAAGAATGAGAAGGAATTTCCAAAAAGCAAAATCGTAAATTTGTATGGGAAAAATACTTAGGGAACCAGTTACGAGACGTCACTGTTTCCTTACAGATTTCCGGCAGCGACACCTAATGCAGCACAATGAAGTACCCACATTTACCTCCTAATTTGCACACAAACATTAGGGAAGCACTTTGAAAACATGAACCATGTGCTGGACAGCCAACAGCTCACAGAGGCTAGTGAGCACAGTGTCGCCAACTCAGCGGCTTTCTTCTGACCAAGACCCAGAGTTTTTGCTAATAGGTGAGGATATAAATGTAGACCGCCTGGTAGATTAATAGGTGAGCCAAAAGGAGAAGATCTCTCTTCACCATACTGGACTAGAACTGTTTCAATCATTCAGATCAAACAGAGCGTTATCAATTTACCCACAATCATCTAGCGATAACAAATCATCTTTCCCAACCATAAAAACACAATCTTTTCAAGATGGTTAAACATAAATACTGCTCTCTGGGTCATCGTCCATCATGCTTGCTGTTTTTCTTGACGCTTCTTCATAGCAAGACCCAGAATGGGGACCTTTGTCAGATATTAATGGCGTTCAGGTCGGATGAATGCGGCCTGGCCGTTCAGACACAGGTCGCATCTGAAAAGATCAGATTCGTATCGGATTCAGGACCACATAGCCAAGTCGCCTGGGACGGCAGACCAAACCAGCGCATTCAGCTCGGCAAAGAACTCATGCTCTTCCTCAACACTGAAGTCCTCAGACATTTTTCTTTCGTTGTTTCTTTCTTTGCACAGGTAAACAGCACATTTCTTCTTCTACGCTTGCATTATTGGCAGAGCAGACGCTGAATGCGCACTTTCATCTGGTTTGATCTGCCGTGGTTTCCGTAGGCTCGT